CGGCATCACCTTGAACTTATTAAACATGCGTGTTTTCTTTAGGTTTTAATGTAAAGGAGTCTGAATCAGAAGTTCCATGAGGCCGAGGAGTGTGTTTGAGAGGCCTAAACACTGCAATGCACACTAACGAGAACCTGTGATTCAGTATATTTCCAAAGGCCTGATCTAATAATACTCAGCTTTGTAATTTATGTTCTATGTGCTACTGAGTTGGTTTCTATTATTTGTATGACTATATAATATTTGATAAGGATTTAAGATTTGTCAGGATTTTTGTTTTGTTTTGTTTTGGTACCAGGGACCAAACTCAGGACCTTGTGCTTGCAAGGCAGGAGGCAGCACCACTGAGTTTAAGAAGTGGTGTTTCTTGCCGGGCGTGGTGGCGCACGCCTGTAATCCCAGCATTCGGGAGGCTGAGGCAGGAGGATCGCTGTGAGTTCGAGACCAGCCTGGGCTACACAGTGAGTTCCAGGTCAGTCTCAACTACATACTGAGACTCTGTCTCAAAAAACAAAAAAACAAAAAAACAACAACACAAAAAATTGGTGTTTCCAATTTGGGAGGAGTACAGGATAATATGATCAATATAGTTTTTTAGTTTTGTTTTGTTTTGGTTTTGAGACAGGGTCTCACTATGTAGCCCAGGCTAGCCTCAAACTCACCGCAATCCTCTTTCCTCAGCCTCCAGAGGGCTGGGATTACAGGCATGCACCACCACACCTGTGATCAATATAACTTTTAAAACTCGGTTTCCAAGGGCCAGGTATTTAGCTCAGTGGTACCAGTCCCTGCCTGGCAAGTGCAAGACCCTGAGGTTGATCACCGGTACTGGAAAAAAAAAAAAAGGTTTCCATAAGGGTGAGAGCATTGCTAGGTGTCGCAGAGAACAATTCAATGCTAGAGATAAGCTTTTTAATTAGCCCAGTCAATTGAAAGGTCACCATCTTAGAATAGCTAATACTAAACATAACAAAGACTTGATGTTTTAAAAAATGATGATGATATCCTGTCAGTGGGAGTTGGCCTGATTTTTGTGGAGAGACATTTTAGAAAGGAACCTAATTTTTATTAGATATCTGCTATGTTCTAGGCATCACTAGAAGTGTCTTTACTGGTTGTTCCAGTCCTCAAAACTGGGGAATAGATGTGCCCTGCTAAACTAAAATTGAAGCCCAGAAGTAAATGACAGCGCAGTTCTTGATTTTATAAATGTACTTGGTCACTACATTTTTAGGGCTAGAAGATGGCTAAGAACTTATTTCCATTATTTTTACAAATGAAAACAGTGAAAACTCAAGTGAACTGACCAGTACAATGCCGGATAGGTGGTTCTAAAACATAGAATGCTTAATTTAGAACATATA